CTAATGCCGCGACCCTTTCATACAGTTCCTCAGGTGGTGGCGACCCTCCCCCCACCCCCAACCATAAAATTATTTTCGTTGCTACTTCATCGGTCGGGCGACCCCTGGGAAAGGGTCATTGGACATCCCCCCTCCCCCTGGGGTCGCGACCCACAAGTTGAGATCTGCTGCTCTAGATCACTGCAGGCCATTGCACCCCCATAGTCAAGGCTTTCTGGTTGCTTAGGATATGTGAATCTTCAGTTCCGTTTGCCCACCCTGGAGGGAGACGCCATCATGGGTTACCGCCCCCACCCCCTGGGCCCTGGGCCCAGACACACCTGCTCGCTCTCCCTGCTGCGGCCACTGCGCCTTGGGGCGGCGCTTCTCTTCCTGGATCGCTGGGTCTCCTTCAGGCTCACGGTCACTTCCTCGGTCAGGCCTTCCAGGGGCTCTCTCTCCAGTCCAGCCGTTCATTCACGCATTACTCTGAGGCCCGGGCTCTGGCGCACTTCACAGCCGTCTGCAATCGTCTTCTTGCCATGTTCACTTCCTGTCTGCCCTCCCCCACTGGGAAGCAAGCTCCCTGGAAGGGCTTGCCCAGCCCTGGATCGCCAGTGCCCACTACTGGGTACTTGGTACCTAGCGGGCCCTTCACACACAGCAGTGAGTCGTTTGGCCTCCCACCTGCGCACACCACGCGGCCTTACCCAACGTCCGGTGGCCGCTCCATTGGAAACGCTCATGTCAACACCTCCATCGATTCCGACCTCGTGTGACCCAGATAGCTCAAGATGGAAGGTACGTGGGCATTTCCTCTGACTCGCTTACTCAGGTAGCTATAGCCTCGACACCGGAAGTTCAAACCCGCCGGAGGACGACCGCACCCCGTAAAGGTTTCCCGTGTCGCGGACACCCTCTATACAGGGTCCCCACGAGTCGACATTGATTCGGTGGCCATGGGTCGAAAACCTACAAGTCGGCAATACCATCGCCTGTCTATTATACAGATGCAGAAACTGAGGCCTAGAGAGAGCATCCGGCTGGTCCCCGGCCACGGGGAGCGGAGTGTGCAATTCAAGCCCCACGGGCCTGCTCCCACGCTATCGCATGCCGCCCCAGGGCCCCCCCTCGGTACCCCAACTCTCTCCACTCCCTGCCTCGCCGACAGGTGCTCCTCCTGAATTCCCCCGGGGGAGGCCCTCACCTTGGCATCTTGCCTCTGGACCCGAGGTCTCTCTGAGGGGCTACTCCAGGTTCCTTCTCCACCATCCTGCCCTCCACTTCCAGCTCCAGTCCGGCCAGTGAGCTGGCCCCGCCCCCCTGCTTCCTGTGGGCAGGGCCGTGGGAGGGGCCAGCGGGCGGTGGGAGCAGACAGAGAGCGAGAACCTGGTTGCCTCCGCCAGCCCTCCAGCTAGCCGGGTCAGTGGTTGGCTGTAGCTGGCGAAGGTCACACCACCTGTCGGACAGCCCTCAACATGTAGGGATGCCCTGGGATCCTACTTGACTTGCCCTTGACCTAGCTTTGCCAATGCTGCGCACACGGTCGAAAACAGTCCTTTTATTTTTCTGCTTAACGTTCTCCTGTTTACTCCGTTTGACCTCTGTCCTGCTGCCACCCTGACTCTCTTCCAAGCAAATGCCACCTGGCTTCTCTCCTCCTCAGACCTCACACACCACTGTCGTGGACTCCGTCCCTAGCCTACCCGCTGTTGAAAGGGCTGCTCTGCCAGGCCCTCTGTACTGCCCGGGGTGCCATCTCCCTCCAAGGCCTATAAATAAATGTTCGCTGGATGCCCTGAAAGTGTGCCCTTGCCACCTATCCTCTTAGGGCCCCTTGACTATCCACTGAGGCAGTGCTGGGGGAAGGGTGCCTTGCGGGACGGGGCTGGGGCGGGGGGCTCTGCTGAAATGAGTGGTGGATGCTAACTCAAAGCCAACATCATAGCCCCGCACCCCAAGGCCCATAGGGGTCAGAATCTCTATGGGTCAGAATCAACTCAGAGGCATATGGTCACCACCACAGTGTGGCCACCATTGGCATGTATTTGCCCCAATCCTAAGGAGCCTTGGTGGCATAATGGTCTGTGTGGGGCTGTGTCAGGAGTTCATAACAGCCCGCTACACCATGGGAGAAAACCAGAGCTCTCTATTCCCGTGAACGATTCTCAGAACCTCACAGGGGCAGTTCTGTCCTACCCTATAGGGCCCCTGCGTAGGCACTAACTTGATGTTGGTGAGTTTGATTGGGGAGGCGCTCTGGTGGCATGGGTTGGGCTGCCAACCACAAGGTCAACAGTTCTAACCCACTATTCCCACCAAGGGAGAAAGGTATGGCTTCCTGCTCCTGTGAAGAGTTAGTCCTGGACACTCACAGGAACAGTTTTCCTCTGCCCTATACGGTCATTATGAGTAGGAATTGACTTGAAGACAATGAGGGGCTCTGTTTGTTTGTTTGTTTTTGTTTGGGGCTCTAATCCTAATAGGAAAATGAAGTTCAACCCCATTAAGGAATTGAACCAAAGCCACAGAGCTACTAAAAGGAGACCTGAGGTTAGATCATAGATCAATAGAATTAGAAACCCACTGCCATCGAGCCAATTCCGATTCATGGCAGCCCCAGGTGTTACAGAGAAGAACTGCTCCAATAGGGTCTTCTTGGCGATCGTAGTGACAGAAACAGCTCTACACCCTTTTTCTGTGACACCACTCACTGAGTTCAAACCAGCAACCTTTCAGTCAGTCCTCAAGTGCAAGCCGTTCTTAACCCCTAGGGAACCCATCCAATTCCACAGCCTCTCATTGTCTCCCCAGGCTTATGGCCAGACCAGGCCTTCTGCAGGAAACCCATAGATGCAGTCCAGACGATACCTGGCAGCCATGGCCAGGAGCGGGCGGGGAGCAACTGGGAAGAGAAAAAAGTAAACAGGGGTCCTTGCTGTCTAGACAGTGGCCTCTAGAGGACAGTAGCCATGGCTTTGCTGCAGTGGGCACTGAACAACCAGGGATTGGGACACGGCCCTGTACCCTTCCCATCAAGACACGGAGTCACTGGGCTCCTTCCTTAGGCACACACAGCATTTCTACACCACACGCCCAGGCACAGGCCGCTCCACTCCTCTGCCCAGGCGAGGGAGCGGGCGGAGGGAGACTGGGAAGGAAGGCTTCCTGCTGCTGAACACTGCTGTCCCCAAGTCCTTCCCTGCAGGCAATTTATATTCTCCATTAACATAATTCAGGAACCAGAGGTGGTTTTTCTTTTTTGACGACAATGACCCAGTGGAGAGGGGGGTACACATTTCTAGTGTTTGGAGCCAAAAAAAACTACTCAGGGCCAGAGCTTGGGGGTGAACATATTTGCATACATGCTCGCACGGCTCCGCCACCACACAGCCCAAAATAGTGCACTCATCAGCCCTGGCTGGCTTCAGCTCTGGAGAGGCCAGCTGGGCACACCCTGCTGACCTCCATCCATGTGACTGCGGGGCTGCGCTCCTTCCCCAGGGTGAACAAAACGAGCTCCCAGAAGCCAGGAGCAGCGCCTGCAGACCATTCCACCTCCACCCGCCAATCCCAGGGCCATCGTGACCTGCCTGATGTGTGACAAGGCCCAACAACAGGGCCCACTTCCAGAGACACAGCATGGGGTGGGCCCAAATCTCGAGAGAGCCCCCCCACACACACACACCCCTGCCCCATCCCTGCAGATCTCCCCAGAAGCCGCACTGGCTCCCACCACGATTTGTAGACATTTGGGGAAACATCCAGAACACAAAGTGTCTTTTAGGGGGGAAAGTGGGGAACAGGGTTTCATCTCAAAACCTCTGCGCTCCTAGAAGGTGAGCACCCTCAGCCCAATCACCCATTCTCCAGCCCTCCCCGCCAACACCAAACCCGTAAGCACTGGAAACCCTACAGAGCACAGATCTGCTCTCAATCAACTCTACGGCACTGGTTTTGTTCTTGAAGCATTTGATGGCCCCAAACACACTGACTGACCACGTGCGGAAAACCCTGTCTCCATTCTTCAGTGCTACTGTCACAGAAACCACACAAGGGAGTGACTTTGAAGAACAGAAATTTGCTTCCTCACAACCAGGAGGTTAGAGGTCTAAACGCAGGGCCAGCCGGTAGAGGAAGGTTCTCTGGCAGCCTAGGGCAAGACCCTTGTCTCTTTGGACCTGCTGTGCTGGTGGTCCTCGTGGGCCTGTTTCCCCCCATTTGTGCTTTCTCGCCTGTGTCTATGAACCCAAACCCAACCCACTGCTGTGGAGTTGATTCCGACTCACAGCAACCCGATCGGGCAGCACCAAACTGCCCCACTTGGTTTCCAAGGCCGTAGTCTTTGTGAACGCAGACGGTTGCACCTTGACATCTCTGCCCCTTTCTGATGAGAGAAAACCAAAACCAAAAACCCAATGGCCATGGAGGGCATTCAGCCTCAAAGCAACCTATAGGGTTTCCAAGGCTGAAGAAAAAAAAGAATTAAAAATGAATTTGATATGCTGGATTAAACGCAGTATTGTCACAATTGCAGTGCAGATACCAAGTCACTCACAAACAGCAGAATTCCGTGTACAAAATGCCCCTCGGGGCGCCTCCAACCCAGACCCCCCTGTGCCCAAGGTAAAGAAAGCCCAACGCAAAAGGCAATCCATCTTTAAAACAACAGCCAGCCTCATCATTCTCCTGCAGAGCAGCTGATGGGCTTGATCCACCAACCTTCTCTGGTTAGCAACCCAACGTTTAGCAAAAGCCGCCACCAGAGTTCCTTCTCTGTTTACACTGTCCCTTGC